GTCATTGAAGAGCGCTGACGACCCGGTGAGTAGCATATTTTAAAAAAAGAACGTTCGAGGTTGTTTTAAGGACATTATCGGACATGCACTATGGAAGCCATTCTGAAGCAGCCAGGGGGGGATTCTGCATGAGCCAAAAAGCAGAGACAGGACCAATCGTCAAAATTTTGGTGTCGATCATTCGATTTCATCCTGAACACTACAGAAAATGGGCTAAAAGTGTTAAAAACCGGAATTTTCCTTTAAAGGAACATTTTTATACAACTCTGAATTATAATGTCCTTGTACTTAATTCTTTTAGTTTTATAACTAATGGCAACAGTGTAATTTTTAACTTTGCATCATCTTGAAGAACAATTAATTTTGGTACATTGTGAACCACAAATAAATTAATTGTCAGAATGAAACAAATTATTTTGATGGTTTATTTTTTTATATACTAAAAGGCCATAACGAAAATGAGCTTAAATTAAATGAAACTAACAACACTATTTTTAAAATTTAAGGAGTAGAAAGGGGAGATAACTTCAAAAGATTGTAGAAGAAAAGCGTTGTCTAAGATATATTACACCAGTAAAATATAGAGAGACAAAATTTCTACTTATGTGAGGTAAAGAGGTATTCATACTTTTTATTTTACACATCTGCATCATGTATAGGAATATACAGTGGGTTAGGCTAAAGTGTTTCTGCATTAACCTCTGTGGGTTTATGTGTTTGAGAAATCAAAACATTCAGCGAAAAAAACAGTGTTATAGCAAATAAAATCAAATAAATTGGCTCATTAGAAACAATGATTTCAAATGGCTTTTAAAGATAGTATTAAACCATAAAAACTTCCACAAAAATGTTTTTACATTAAAACCTTTAAGCTTTGTGGTATTATAGAAGGATTTTATGTGATAGTCCCACATATAGTAGAGCCTAAATGCTATGAGAAAGGGGCATGATAAGTAATTCTCAAACATTTTGCCTGAAGACCACCTTTAAGTGCAAAACAGCTACAAACGTGTGGAAGGAGGTGGTCTGGTTACATCATACCAAAAAAATAAATGTTGGCCTACATTCAGAATATTGGTTGGCAGGAGAGTGATTGTAAACCTCACCCTGAATACATCAGTCCTATTGTAAAACATGGTGCTGGCTGCATTGTGCTGTGGGGGTGCAATTTTAAGCATACATAAAGCTGGTGAGAGATGGGAAGGAGGATGACGCTTACTAAAGGGCAGTTCTGGCAGAAAACCTGTTGAGAAGAGGGTGGATGATCACTTTCAAACAGGATCAAAAACCTTAAACATACAGCAACAGCAGTAATTAAACAGTTTACATCAAAGCATGTTTGTGTTTGAATGGCCCACTCAAAGTCAAGACCTAAAAAAATGGATGGCAAATCTGTTTATGTCAATTTCTGCCTGTTGGTCTTGATAAAAAAAGAAAAGAAAAAGGAAAAACATGTTCCTGTGGAGCTGAAATGTATTTCCACAAACAGCTGGAACCATTTTCTTTAAGACCAACTGTGTCAGAATCCTGTGCTGCGACTCCATCCATCGGACGAACCATTACACTCAATTTACACGTTTACCTCAAACATCCCTGTGGGTGTCGTAATGACTGAGGTGAGTTCAAAGCACCTTCAGGAGAAACAGACGGCTAAAAATGACTTCATCACCAGAGTCGGACATTCTGGTAGGTGACACAATCATTATCAATAATCCAAAATGTTTAATTAATGCTCCTATCATCAGTAAGACAAAAGTTTTTTTTTATGTAGCCAGTTTTGTTCAGCCAAACCGAATAAGCCACAGAGATAAGAGAAGGCCTTCATCAACAAACCCACTTCTCTGGCTAGAAGAGAAAAAGTGGTTATGGTCTGGAAAAGGCAGAAAAACAAAGCCAAGAAAAAAAAAACAAAAACAAGGTTGTATAGCCTGAAGTTTAAAGATTAAGCAGCTGATTTGCAACTATGGAACACAGATGGAGGGTTAAAAGCTGGACGTTCTTGTCTGAGCTGTGCTGCGTTTCTGAGCATGCGGGTGGTTTGATGTCCCTGGTTTCCTGTGCCTTCCATCGCTTGTGTTTTTAATAGACGGCCTGTCGGGGCGGGGCTCGACCACAGCTAGAACACTCTGCTGCCATTTTGGCCTCAAATACGCAGTCCCCACAGCCCTGTCTGCAATTTCAAAATAGGTCGGCCCCACCAACCACATCCCTACCCCCCAGCAAAGTGGAAAGCGGCAGGGAAAATAAGAACCATGCCTGTGGGCCGTTATTCTTCCTAGGCTTTAGCCAGAAGGACAGCGTGGAGGAAGCACCTGCCTCGACCCCTGATCCTTCGTTCTACTTGCAGGTGGAAAGAAAATAAGATTTCTTTATCACTCTCTGCCTCTCCAGCCACACCAAAAATGTCTAGCTGATATCTGTGGCTTGTTTAAAGCTGTAATACCTAAAGCTTGAGCCAGTTGCTCAGTATAGGGGCTTTGATATTAACATGCTCTGTTCCAGCTTAAAGGCCAATCTGTGCCTCGAAGCAAACTGGATCTGATAAGGCTGATAAGGCTTTTCTATTGGGAAAGATTTTTTATACAGCCATGCAGCAGGTGACTTTATCTGATTAACTTCCCCATGTGTCCGCTTAAAGCAAAAAAAACAAAAGCAGTAAGAAAAAACAATCGTTACCCAAGGATCCACATTCAGTATCTTTTCGTCCCTCTTGCTCTTAAAGAGAAGTCCATTTGGGTCATCATAAACCACCAAGAAGTTGGGACTAGAGTTGGAGGTGGCTGCTTGTGTCCTCCAGTTGTAGTAGCTGTGAAGGAAATGGGATAAAATTGATCCAGCAATTCAACAAGGTTTTAAATGAAGAATAAAAATGGATGCTATAGGCACAGTTCAGATTGGTTTGTAGATCTCCACTCATTTTCTGTGCATTTCTGCTAACTGACCATGAATACATACTGTATTGTGTAGAGCAGGGGTGCTCAAGTTCAGCCCTTTTAGATGCATCTCTTCTCTAACACACCTGAATCGAAAGGTCAATCCCCACATTTAGCCCAGTAGAGGCATGGTAATGAGCCACTCATTTGATTCAGGTGTGTTAAACGGGGTGCATCAAAAAGTTGCAGGATAGGAGCTCTTAAGGACTGGACTTGAGCACCCGTGGTGTAGAGCATACTTAAAATGATAAAGGCAGATATGTTCAGGTCAAAGGGTGGAGTGTCACACCCCAAAAAACTGTCCAGCAGTCCAGGGGATGATATTTAAAGGTCCTATATTATGCTAAATCCTCATTATGAATATTTTGTAACAGTCATATGGGTCTCAAGGCTTGTGTATGAGATTCACAAATGAAAAAAAAAGCACTTTCACCTCTCACATTGCCTTGTTTCATCTCTTAGCTAATGTGTTCTCAAAATGCTCTATCTGAAAATGCATGACCTCTGTAATGTCATAAGGGGAAATAACCAATCCGTGCCATCTTTCTGCTTACTCACACCAAGCATCCAAACAGACAAGACTAAGCTAATAGCTAATCAGAGCTGCTGCTATTAATTACTGCATCAATGAGAGCAAAGTCTTTTTACCACCTTCATCTGAGCCCCTGAAGACTCAGTGGATGGATTTTGTATTGGATGGAAATTTACCTGCAAAACTTCAGAAGGTTTGAAAGAGGATTACAACATAGGCACTTAAAAAGCAGGCTTCGCCAAACACGTTCATTTGAGTATTGGATTAATACCTTTTCTTCTGTATTGTTCCTCGCTCTTCTGCACCATCTTTAGAAACTCTATGGGGGCGCGGCCTCTTCCGGAAGATGCCTGAATGAGGATGTTTGTGGTAAACTACATGCTGTCTGCCTAATCTGATAGGAGTTTTCCTGCGCAAATGGTGAAAAAATGCTTAGGGCACCTCATTCCTATTTTTCTTTTATTTTCAAATGTAGCATAAAATTGGACCTTTAACAAAAAAAAACTGTATAAAATCTAGCAGAGATCCCACAGCAACCATGATATGTATCAACCTTCAGTTCATCAGCTGCTGTTCAGCAGGTCTGGTAGCTCTTTGGTAATCGCTTCTTATGTCAAACATTCTGTATCTTTCCAAGCAAATTCTACAGTAGCAGGAAAGAGCCAAAGATCTTCATTAAAATAGGTTATTTGGGAAGATGTTGGTTATTTATTTAACACAGCAGTAATTTACCCCTTAGAAAACATGTAACCAACTTTCTGAATGTTTCAAAGATCCGAGCTCATATATCAGTATAAAGGCTACTTGAACGAAAATTAGACTAAAAGCAGCACTAATTGGAAGACAAACAGTGAATGATTTTCAGAAATCCCATTGAGATATTTATCAGTACCTGTGATGCTGTGTTGCCCTTAAGGCATTTCTATTAAGAAGTAAGTTCACAAGGTTAAATAAATAACCTTAACTTGTTGTTTAACTTAGTTTTTACCAACATCTTGCAAACACTACAGATGCACATGGGAACAGATGATCACTGGCCAGAGTTACTTAACAAACCCTGACAGGCTGTTGGGAACCATTGGGGCTAACAGATTGTGCTAACAAGGCCAAAGGGTGAGCATTACAAGAAGGTTGCTTTGATTTGATTCCATTTATCTGTTACAAAAAGTTAGGGGACTCCCTATATATAATATAATATAGGAAGTACCATCTCAATATATCTTACATAATATAAGGTCTACTACCTTAACAGTGAAAGAGGTTGCATGCCAACTGGGATTAAAAAAAGCCAAACTAATATACAACAGTAAACATAGACCTATATGAAATGTTCCACACAAAGGGCCGGATCTATCAAAGGTTTGCGTGTATAAAAACGTGAGCTATTTCACTG